AAGTAGTTGAGTAGTCAAAATTATGTTTTGGATATAACAGCGAGGCAAGCCATGTGAGTGCATTTATTATGTACTTATTTGTTATGAGAGTTGTAGATGTATGTTGCTTAATATATGTATGGTGATTACCAAATGGCACTATGTGTGCAAAACTAAAAAATTCATAATAAGTTTATGAATTTCATATGGACACTTTGTGTGCAAAACTAATAAATTCATAATAAGTTTATGAATTTCTGTATGGGCACTTTGTATGCAAAACTAAGAAATTCATAATATGAATTTCCATATGGGCAGTTTGTGTGCAAAACTAAGAACTTCATAATAAGTTTATGAATTTCTGTATGGGCACTTTGTGTGCAAAACTAAGAAATTCATAATAAGTTTATGAATTTCCGTATGGGCACTTTGTGTACAAAACTAAAAAATTCATAATTAGTTTATGAATTTTCGTATTGTTAGTTGGTGTGCAATCCACATAAATTATAGTAATGTTTGGGAAATGAATGTATTGGCACTACAGGTGTAAACTATAGAGTGGGTAAGGAATTGAAAGAATTAATGGACATTATAATTGCCATGATATACTTGTGTTTAGAATTTTTCTTATGTTTGTTTATGCCTCACTAAGAAATTTCTTAGCGTGTGTTAATTTCACGCGTAGGTTTTAATACAAGGGAAGTAAGGAGATCATCAGACATCAAAGCAAGTGTTCCTCATCATTAATAGTACGACATCCATGTCTACTTTGATGTACTTAGTTGGCATGTAATAGATTTAGTAAAAACACGCTGAAAAGTATTTGATTTACTATGATGTAAAATGATGAAATGTTCAAACATTACCTTTTATTTATATACATAAATTTAATGAATGTTTTATTATTATTATATTAAAATGTTTTATAAAAAGAAATAAAATTTTATGGGTTTTCAAATGAGGAAATGCTTTAAAATTGATGTGAAATCTGTCTCTCGTGTACGGAAAGGTATACGGGAGATGGATGTTACACTAGTGCAAGTTGAGATATCCAATGTTGTTTCGTGTCCTAAAGAGGTCGAGGTCAAACCAGATTGAGAGGAACATCGAAAATTGCTTCTCAGAGCACGAGTTCCAAACTTCAGCAAAGGTGTACAACATTTGAATTGAAAAATACCTTGATGATCTAGAGATCATTGCAGGTATCAAAACCAATATTTGTGTTAATTGATCCAAGTTTTACTCATTCATGCATAAGTTCTAAGCTAGTTTGAGATATAAAATTTTGTGTTGATTGACAAAGAAATTGATGATCTAGAGATCATTGCAGGTACATTCAATCTTTTTGATAAACCTATATTTGTGTTGATTGATCCAAGTTTTACTCATTCATGCATAAGCTCTAAGATAGTTGAGAGAGAAAATGGAATCAATCTCAAGTGACATAGTAGCGACTAATCCTCTAGGCTAGAGTGTGAGGGTAAGTCGAATTTTTTTAGAAATTTCTCATTAAATATTCAAGGGTTTAAATTTCCAACAAACTTGTTGGAATTACCTTTTGAAGAATTTGAGATAATTTTTGGTGTGGATTGGTTATCTACCTACCATACCATTGTGGATTGTCACTAAAAGTGATTAATTTATAAAGAATCAAAAGGTTATGAGATTATAGTGGTTCGTGAAAGATTAAATCCCTCGCCAAATGTAATTTCAGTAGTAACTGCTAAAACGTTATTGCTACAATATTGCCAAGCTTACTTAGCTAATGTAGTGGACTCTCAAGCCTCAAAGATTAAGTTGGAAGATATTCTAACCGTCTATGAGTATCCAGATATATTTCTAGATGAATTACCCTATTTACCTCTGGATCAAGAAGTAGAATTTAAAATTGAGGTGTTCTAGGGTATTGCACCGATATCTATGGCTCCTTATAGAATGGTTCCTACTAAACTAAGGGAGTTAAAGGCACAATTACAAGAACTGCTAGATAGAGGTTTTATAAGACCAAGTGTGTCACCTTGGGGAGCTCTTGAATTATTTGTGAAAATGAAAGATGGGTTTATGCAATTATGTATAAACTATTGTCAGTTGAATAAGACACTGAAGAATAAGTATCATCTACCAAGGATTGATCATCTTTTTTATCAGTTAAAAGATACAATTATGTTTTTAAAGATCGATCTTCAATCGGGGTGTCATTAGTTGAAAATTCAAGAAGAAGATATTCCAAAGACGACTTTTAGGACCCGATATGGAAATTATGAATTCGTGGTGATGTCATTTGGATTGACTAATGCTCCCACAACATTTATGGATTTTATGAACAAAGTGTTTCAACCACATTTGGACATGTTCGTAGTAGTATTTATTGATGATATTTTTGGTTTATTCAAAGACTAGGGAAGAGCATGATGCATATCTTCGCATATTCAAACTCTTTGAGATAAAAAGTTATATACTAAGTTATCAAAGTGTGAGTTTTGGCTGTATTAAGTTACTTTTCTTGGCCATGTGGTTTCGGTAGAGGGGTTAGAGTGAATCCCAAGAAAATACAAGTTGTTGTGGATTGGAAAACTCCAAAGAATGTTTATGAGGTACGAAATTTCTTAAGACAAGCTGGTTATTTTCAGAATTTCGCAAATAATTTCTCGATGATTACCTCTCCACTTACAAAGTTGTTAAGAAAAGATGAGTCATTTGTTTGGACTAATAAGTGTCAATAGGGATTTATTGAAAAAATAATTTATAGAGGGGCTTACTACAATTATCCCTAAATATATAAGGTAAAATTATATTTTTTTTTGGGTCGGATTGGATATTTTTATCCTAAATTCAAGCCGAATCTGATTCGACCTAAACTCAATTTTTTTTAAAATTCAACCCAATAGGATTGGATTGGGTCAAAACCTATCATATTCGAGTCTCGTGTCCATCCCTAAGTAAGGATGACACCGAAATGAACTGGAATGGGCCTCTAAAATAATCGACAACTAATGATAACTTTTTAAAATTATGAATTGATCTTAATTTCATGCAAGAGAGGACACCTTTAGGTGAAGTCATCATTAGCTATAAACTACTTCACTAAATACACAAACAAATGTAACTAAATAATTTCGAACTTAGCTTATTTTTCTAAAAAAAGTATTTATGAGTTTTCCATAAATTAGCCCATATGTGATGCATGTGTTAGAGTATGCCCAAAGACCAATCATATGATGATTGTAATGATACATTTTATTTACCGATTTTATTGAATAAAGCCATTGCCACTATTATTTTCAGTTATATATGTGTTTAACATAAACTGAAGGATAATAAAGTCCATATAATAATGTAATTATTATTATTAAAAGATCCTTAGTCAAGTATTATTATGGGAATGGACAATAATAATACGCTTAAGACTAACATGTTATTGATTGATGACAATGAGATATCATTGACATAGAGATGTCAGAATTGATACATGATTATATTGTTAGAGAACAATGTATTGGATTAACCCACTATGAGCATATGTCTTGGATTATTATGTGATAGTCACAAATTGTTCATGGTGATGACTATATGTATGATCCTCAGACTTGAGATCATTACTATCTCAACATATATTGTTGTATGTTTTGATACAGTTAAACATGTTTTGTAACTGGTTGCACTATAAAGACTGTTATTGATTATATCTCGATATATTTAATGGGGTGTGTATGATTAAGATATGATTTGTCCTTCCTATATAATAAGAAATATATCACAGGTCACTTGATTGAGTGAGATTAGAAATGCACGACCATGCTCGAATAAGTTGATATGAAATATCACAAAATATTCATTAATTATAGTCTATAGATATAAAAAACAATAGATGAGCTATACAAGTGTGACTATTCCAAGACTTGTGCCTATTATAGATATAAAGGACAAAAGGATGTAATATATAAAAGAGTTCATCACGAAGATGATATGTCGAATCGTTATTTCTTGTAACTTAGGTGACAATGATATATTACTAGATGTCACTTATTGTTTGTAACATTAGAATTGTTCTAATAATTACTACTAACGTTACAAGAATCTACAGGGTTACACTCTAGGGTTGAAATGAGAAAAGATGTACAATTTGTTTTACGTTACTAAAATATATATCTATAGTTAATATATGTATATTTGATATATATATATGATTTTAATTATCCGAATATAGTAAGTAAACATTAAAAGAATATAATTCTGATTGCAATTCTTTTAATGGATATTTAATTCAGAACAATTAAAGAAGAGTTTAAATAAACATTAAAGAATATAATCTAGATTATAAGTCTTTAATGAATATTTAATTTCAATTAATGAAATAAGAGTTTAATTAATTTGAAATAAAAAACCCTAATATGTTAAGGTAACATGGATATTTAAAGATAAGTGAGGTCTAGAAGCCATACTTAATCTTCAGCTGTTTTCTCAAAATCGTTTTTTTGAAAAAGTTAAATTTTGCTTCCAATCGGGTGAACTGAGTAGAGGCCTAGACGTTTTTTGTAGAGGCTAGGATTTGAACCATTCGTGATCATCAATAGTCGTTGTTGTCTTTGTTGATTTACAAGGAACCCAATGTAAGTAATCATATCCCTTCCTCCCAATTTTAGATTTAATGTATTTGGATTACTGATGAGACCGTCGCGTTTTATTTCCAATGTGCCACTGGGTGCGCTGAATATCCCATAAGCATGTGCTCTTGAATTTTTCTTAAATAATAATTTAAATAATAATATTATTTTAAAGTTAAGAAATTTGTAATCGATGAAGGGATTGCGATAAAGATAGATAGAGATGCAAAAGTTGTTTTGTAGAGCAAACCATCCATCTAAGCAGAACCAATAAAGAAAAGCAAGAGAACAATAAAAATAAATAAATTTTACAAAATTGATAAATTATTAGTTACTTACAAAATTAATTTTGGTTATTTAAAATTTTAAAATACAAAATAAAATAAAACTTTTGTTTTATTTGTTCAGAAGAAGGGCTGTTCTTCATAGGTTTCTTAATTTTCATCCTGAAGTATCAACAGAAGAAATGGAGAATTTAAAAGCTTTATCTTCTCTATCCCCAAACAAATCCCTAAAATCGATATTCTATTATTTTTTGCCTACAGCAATCTTTTATTTCTTACTCCATTTGTCCCTCGCTTTCACTTTTCTTGTGTTTCCCCTCTTCTTTCACTGAAACTTTCCATCTCGTTTTCTTTCTTGTGCTTTTTTTTTTGGGTCGTAATTATACCCTTTTTTTCCTCCGAAAAAAAAAACGCATTGTTTTTATTGGGATACGGTTATTTTCATAAAACGGTTACGTTTTCAGGCGATAGTTTGGAATCGTCGCGGCGGTTAGGTTTACTCTTCCTTTTTTCTGTCATCTGCACTCTTGTAATTTGTTAGGATTTCCCAATATTTCTCGTTACCCCTTTGGGGTTCAATTCCTAGCAGCTGGGAACTTATAATCGAAATTTCATCTAGGGTTTTTGATTTTATCCCCAATTTATTGTTATTCAGTGATATTTTCCCGAATTTAAGTGGCATGTGGGCGTTAAGTTTTACTTTGGAGAGTTCTTTTTCCTCTGTTTTCCCGAGTTGTTGATTTGAAAACAGGGCTGGAATTTTTCTATTTTTATTTTATTTTATTGGGAACTACGACTGTCATTTGAGATTGCAGAATCAGTAATCTGCAAATCCATCTTTTAATAAGAATGGAAGAGTAGGGAGACTTAATTATATAGCCTCCTGATTGACGCCATTGTTTTCGTCGACACGGCTTCGTAGTTGTGATATAATTCTTTTTCGTTTGATCAAGCAATCTCTTGGCCATTGGTTAAGAGTTTGGGAGTATAGTGTAGGAAGAAAATCAATTTGGTAAGGGTTTGAAGAACGTTGGAGAAGTCCCCCCCCCCCCTTTTCGTTTCTCTTCTCTGATGATCGTATTTAATATCCCTTATGGAAAGAAGAGAACCAACTTTTGTTCCAGAATGGTTGAAAAGTAATAGCACTGTTACTGGTGGTGGCAACTCGGCTCACAACTTTGCTTCCTCTTCTTCCCTCTCAGGTACCGTTTCACCAACTTTTAAATACCTATTGCAGTTCTCTTTCTATTTACACTTAATTACAAAGTGCTCAATTTGTATATTGTGTTTCCCATTCCTTCATTCTATTTTCTAATAGTGATGGTTGTAGAAATGTTTGTATACCACTTCTGGAATGTGTTGTAACCATATGTTTTTTTTTTGATATATTAGATTTTTCTTCAGGGCATCATGGGAGACAGAGAAACTATAGGAATGTAAGTGATTTTGATTCCCATAGTTCATCATTTTTGGATCGGTCATCTTCTTTGAATACACGGAGGAGTTCGAGTAATGGTTCTGTGAAGCATGCATACAGTAGCTTTAGTAGGAGTCACCGCGATAAGGATCGGGAGAGGGATAAAGTGAGGTTGAACTTTGGGGACCATTGGGACTTTGCTGATTCTGAACCTTTAGAAAGTCTGTTAACCAGTAGGGTTGAAATAGAAACGTTGCACCGTTCAAATTCTATGTTCTCTAGGAAACAAGATGAGCTTTTGTCTAGAAGGGTTGGGCTGGATGCTAGAGACAGTATTAACGGTAACCATAACAATGGCAATGGTCTGCTTTCTGGGGGTGCTGTTTGGAATAGCAACCACAAGGCTGTGATTGAGAGGGATTTTCCCTTGCTTGGAACTGAAGATAGGCAAGTGGTGCCTGAGATAACTAGAGTTTCGTCTCCTGGTTTGAGCTCCGCTTCTCAGAATTTGCCGGTTGGTAGTTCAGCTTTGATTAGTGGAGATGGATGGACCTCAGCTTTGGCAGAAGTTGGGCTGGATGCTAGAGACAGTATAACGTAAACCATAACAATGGCAATGGTCTGCTTTCTGGGGGTGCTGTTTGGAATAGCAACCACAAGGCTGTGATTGAGAGGGATTTTCCCTCGCTTGGAACTGAGATAGGCAAGTGGTGCCTGAGATAACTAGAGTTTCGTCTCCTGGTTTGAGCTCCGCTTCTCAGAATTTGCCGGTTGGTAGTTCAGCTTTGATTAGTGGAGATGGATGGACCTCAGCTTTGGCAGAAGCCCCCAGCATGGTTGGAAGTAGTAACACGGGTTCCTTGACTACCCATCTAACTGTTTCCACCTCAAGTTCTGTGACTCCAACTGGCACATTTGGTCTTAATATGGCTCTAGCACTAGCACAAGCTCCTTCACGGTCCCATACTGCTCCTCAGGTAACTGATCAGCCACTTACTTCTTAATACAATACGTCTGTGATTTAATTGGAAGTTTTTGTTTCATACAGTTATCTGTCAAGACTCAAAGGCGCAAGGAACTGGCTATTAAGCAATCAAAGCAACTAATACCAGTGACACCTTCAATGCCCAAGGGTTCGGTAATGCAACCCCTCACCTTTTGTCTCCCTCCCTAGCCTTTGATTTAGGTTTCTACTTGCACTTCTATCAAGTGTACTATCCAGACATATTTCTTGTTTATATGATACAAATGACTAGTTGACTAAGTTCCATAATGCTCTGAAATTCTTAAAGGCACAATTGCTAATGATAATATTCTTTTGCATTTATGATTTTTCATAAACGTGAAGAATTATTTCTGATATTTGATGTTGCCTTAAGTTGTTGCTAATTTTAATTTAGTGTAGATATGGGAGTATACTATTTTTGGCTCTATAGTATTCTGAGATTGTTGATTATCTTTACCAATTGTAATTGAGAGACAAGAATGAGATTTGGAAAGAAACTCATTAGGTCCCCTGCAGTTTGTTTAGTCAGCGTCTTCAAATAATTACAGTTTGATAAACTATAGAACTTTTCAAGGAATCTAGTCACTTTTTCTCGACAGAATAGATATTAAAAACAATTATGCTATTTCTTCTATCTTTTCCACTCTGGATTTGTTTTTTCGGGTTTGAAGTTCATGAGGACTTGTCTTTACATTGTGTCTTTCCTTGTTTAGCCTTCAGATGGAACTGTCATTGACATTGTCTTTGTACTTTTTCAAGAGATTTTCAAATGCCAGGGTTAAATGCAGTTAGCAAGTTTACTGTCTGCTCAATAAGTGTTCTGGATGTAGCTCTGTTCTGTTTGTTACCTGTCTACTTCATAAATAAATAACAATATATTTAGTACTTCTAAAATTTTGGTAATAACTACCTAAATTTTTGTCCCAGGTTCTCAATTCTGTGGATAAATCAAAGGGCAAACCAGTCAGCAGAACAAGTGAGATAAATATAGCTGTGAAGAGAGGGCAGCAGCAACCTTCTTTAATTCATCATGGTAATCTGTCTCCTCATGGTGAACAAGTCAAGTCTGATATGCCGAAAACATCTGGGAAGTTTTTGGTTCTCAAACCGGGATGGGAGAATGGGGTCTCATCCTCTACTCAAAAATATGTTGTTAGTCCAACAAGTATGAACACCAAAGTTACAGTTAGCACACATGCTGTTGATCCCGCAAGAAACTCTAACAGCCCAAAGCTTTCTGCGGGGGGACATAAGGCAGCTGCCTTGAATTCAGGAGCTGGGTTCACTGCAGAAAAGAGACCCTCTTTGGCTCAAACCAAGAGCCGAAATGACTTTTTTAATCTGCTGAAGAAGAAGACGTCATCAAAGACTTCTGCTGTTCTCTCAGATTCACACCATCATATCGCATCTTCCACCTTAGAGAAATCTGAAGTTACAAAGGAAGTAGTAAGTGCCTCTTCAACTTCTCATGCTAATGAAAATGGTATTGCTGAAACCAACATTGGTGATTCCTGTCAAGAGGATCAACGATTTGCTGATGATAGTGAAAAGGATATGGGATCCGCTTCTATGATCTATCCAGATGAGGAAGAAGCTGCCTTTCTTCGTTCTCTTGGCTGGGAAGAGAACTCTGGTGAAGATGAAGGCCTTACAGAAGAGGAGATAAATGCTTTCTATCAGGAGGTAAGATACATCTTCCCTTATCTCATTCTCTCGAGTTATATAGCATATAACTTCGGGGCTGGGTTTAAGGTGAAAAATCACCGACCCAACCGGATCCGGTTAATTTTTACTTATATATGTTGTATTAAAATATATTATTAAAATATATTTTTACTTATATGTTAAGAATTTTTTTATATTATTAAAATATATTATTTAATTATTAAAAAATATATTTAATTTAATCGTTTAAAATATAATAAATAATTCTAAATATATTATTATAAAATATATTATTTTAATTAATTTAAAATATTAATATATTCAGGTAGGTGTCGGGGCAGTCAAAAAACCGGCCAGCTCCACCCCGAGCCCATCTCTAACAGTATATTAGTGTTTTTAATGAACTTTGATATATACCGAAAATTATATGGAGGTGGAGCTGAACATTCTCATCTGGTGGATGGTGAACTTGATAAAAATATGTTATTATTATAGCGATGAGGAAAATTATAAAGGTTTGTTGTATTTGTCTTCTACCTTTGTAAGAGAACTATCTTATTTTACAAAAGATGTGAGATATGAGACGATTTCTGCAAGCTATTTGCTTATTGTGTATTCATTTGGTTTTGTAGTACATGAAACTGAGGCCATCTCTGAAACTGAGCCGTGCCATGCAGCCAAAGCTGGCTCAATCTTTTGCAACTGATTTGGATGGAGCTGCTTCTGAACTGAGCTCGTCTGACTCTGGATCCGAAGCTTGACTTTCTTTGTCCCTACATGGTACATCCAAAGTTTTATTTTTTTAAAAATATTTTATGCAGATGATCAGTTTTCCCCGTTACTTTTTTGTTTGAAAGAAAGCTGATGAGTTGAGGGGGTGGGTTCTGGTTTGATGGCGCATTTTGCAAATAGTTCAATAATTAAGTCCTACCCGTTTATAACAACAGAGAGTTCTTTAGGTTTGGGAGTGGACTATTTTGATTGCAGTCGGAAGATGCCATAAATTTGCATCTCTAGGAGATATTTCTTTTCTCTTTTACGAGAAATAGCTTATTGGTGATTTTGGTAAATTTACTGACTGAAAGAAGGAAATCAAAAAGTTCCATTTATTATTATAATTCAGTTACATGTTGGTAAATGAATTGTGTTGAGGCAGTCATTTAGGCTTCGGTTCTATCCTATGGGCACTTTTAATTATCTGTGAACTGATACAGGTTGGCTTCATGCTCTGTACTATAGTAAGCTGTTGGTAAGCAAAAGCAATTATAATCTTTATATTTTTTGATGTTTTTCTTGGCAATTTTACCCAAATATTACCCAAAAAAAGCAATTATCAAAGTAACACCTAATGTTAATTAATTCCCAATTTAGCATCAATTTCTATTACGTGACAAAAGGTGTGTTCTACATAAAGTGCTTATAAAGTGGCATTTTAGTTAGCAAATACATTTTTATAGAAAATGTCTTTTTAACTTATGTGGTTGTCTGATTCGAGTGGGATTTATGTATATGTTGCTTTTTAATAGGATATTCATCCTTATCATGTTCATCGACATCAGCCTCAACTTATTGTGGGAGTTGACGACGAAGAATGCCTTTGTGGATAACGAATGCGGAGGTGTTTGATCAACAATTTCACTAAATATCAACAATTCCACTAAATGAGAACTGCGAAAAATCTGATAAAGATTACTAGATGAGGGAGCTGAATATGATGTTGGTGTTGGTGGTGGAGCGCCACTCGTTGGATACGATGCCATATAAAGGAAAAATAGGGTTTATAAACGTATAATATACTCCCAATGGACTTGACATAACCTGGCTGCTTGGTATATAACCAAGAGAATTCGACATATAACTAAGAAGGCTTCATATAACCCTACGGATTCTGTATATAAAACTGCAACGGTTCAAAAGGTTGGCGATGTGTTGTTATCAACAATATTGATGAAGACGAGCCAGAAGTGTTTTTCTTCTTCCACAATTAGTCGGGCACAATGATGTTGGGTCAGTCCAGTCTTTAACGACGACGATGAATAGACTTCCATTGATGAAGATGAGGAAGGCTTGCCTCATGCCTCATTAGAAAATATGAATGCCTTCCATTTTTGTTGAACCATGACATGCAATTAGACAACTGTCAAATCAGTGTCCGAAAAAGGATCACGATTGAGAATATGTTCATATTGTTTCTCCCTATGTTCATATTGTTTCTCCCACATTGCTATCTACTTGATGAGCTTACTCTCCCAATTAACGTCAGTCTTGCCTCGTCTGTTAAAGTTATGCAAATTGTTGAAATTAATGATTGCTTCTAGAGTAAATTGTGTGAAATCAAATTGACAGAGCACAAGATTACTCGGATGCCACCCCACAATATCATAATAAATAAGAGGCACAATCGATATTATATTTCCAATCAAACACTAAGCTTGGTGGGATACAAACCCCATTTCAATATTTGTATAAAGATTCCATTGGAATTACAAAAAATATTTTTATAATTAACATATAAATTTATAAATGAGATTTTAATGATAACAATAATAAGAATAAATAATGAAAAGCGTACTTGTGAATTTGAATTTTTGTTCAATCAATAACTTTATATTTTGAAATTCATCAACGATATTCTAATGATTTTTCACTGACGATAATCTATTTTATAAAAAATGTTTCAATTAAAATAAAAATTAAATAAACTTATTTATAAGTAAATTAAATATTGAAATTATCTTATGACGAAGCCTCGCATGAATAAATGCAAATTGTTCAGTGCTTGAGAAATTTTACACGTGTTCTGGCCATAGATTAGCACTACAAAAACCCATTTGTTTAAAGGAATGTTACACCCAACATCCTTGAAGAAGTTGTTACTGATTTTTGTTTCTAAGAATCGGAGGATCTCGGAAATTATCTAGGGATACATTTGCTGCATTGACGTGTTACCAAAGCAACGTACAACTACTTGTTAGAAAAAAATGCGAGGGAAGTTATTTGGATGGGCATCAAATATCTTTCATTAGTGGGCTATATTCACTACAATAAAATACACCTTTACTGATAATACAAATAGTCATTAAAGTACTAAATTTAGACATTAAAATGTACAGTGATAAAATTTTCAAATCGTCACTTGTCATTACTAATAATCTCGTCACTATTAAGTTAGTGACAATTATTTTAAAATTTTTCACAACTGTTCACTTTTTAGTGACCATCTATTCGACACAATTATTAATATAAATTGTGATGATTTTTTTACACTAAAAAATATATTTTGTGACCATCAATATTGTCACACTAAGTATTTTTTAGTGACCAAATGTTCGATACTATTATCAATAGAAATTGTGATAAGTTTATTTGACACTAAAAGTATATTTTGTGACCACCAATGTTGTCACAGTGTGTGTTTTTGTAACACCCATTTCCCGTAACGTTTCCGTACACAAGTCACACGTGTCACATGACTTTTAAAAAAAATTCTTATTTGTAAACCCATAAAATTTTGTTTCGAAAATAAAAAACAAAACATTTTAATATAAAATGAAACATTCGTTGTAATATATTACAAAAACTATTACTTTAATATATTCCAAAGCATTTATCTTAAATTAATATACATGTCATCTAGTTATAAAAAAGAGACATAAAAGTCCTACGATTACTGATGAGTCAACCTTGAGTTGATAATCGCTGCTGCACTCCTTATTCAGCTACTCTTGGCTCTTACCTACGCGTGAAAATCAACACATGCTAAGTATTTACTTAGTGAGACATAATAATGTAAATTAACTGCAATTAATACATAAGCATATCATGGCTATTTAAATACGAACTAAATCGTATACTTCATAAAAATCAGTTAACCATCTCAGTTAAACCAAGTTTCTTTCATATAGTCATTGAAACTATTATCAATATGCCCAACATACTTATTTTTCTGTATATTTTCCCAATTATCCTTTATTTTGCCCAATGTATGCCAAATAAGAATATTAAGTACATGCAATGCAACGAAGTGCCAAAATGGTCATTCACCTTTTATGAATACCATGAGTAGCACCTTGTATGCCGAAATGCACAGTTATGTCTTTAATTTTCATTTGTGGCACCTTTTATGTCGAAATGCACCGTTATGCATTTAATTTTCATTAGTGGCTCCTTTTATGCCGAAATGCACCGTTATGCATTTAATTTTCATTAGTGGCACCTTTTATGCCGAAATGCACCGTTATGCATTTTATTTTCATTAGTGGCACCTTTTATGCTGAAATGCACCATTATGCATTTGATTTTCATTAGTGGCACCTTTTATGCTGAAATGCACCGTTATGCATTTAATTTTCATTCATTCATTTTAGAGCAGTTGATACTCTAAAATTTATTCATAATATCATTTCCATACACATTATAAGAATATATCAAATACCGTAAATCATACATTAAATGCACTCACCTGATATGCTCAGCTATTCAACAACTTTATCTTTGCCATTTTTCTTGCTTGACTCTAGAGCTTGGTTATGATCTACACAAGCATCCATTATTACGCATACCATATAATTGTTAGTATACTTTCTAACATTTATTCTTTTAATAATACTTAAAAAGTACATTTATTTTCAATTTCTATTAAAATTCATCCTATCTTAAAATTTCAGGCTTAATAGTATCGTACCCCTACCATGGTATCGATACTTCTATACTATGGTACGATACTCTCTTTCAGTATCGATACAATTTCTGCATTCTAGAATCCATGGTATCGATACCTTCCTCTTAGTATTGATACCCACATCAGTATCGATACTAATTGCATCAGTGTCGATACTGTTCATCATATTTCCCCAATTTTAAACCTATAGTATCGATATTGTTCTTCCAGTACCGATACCCTTACCTAGATTTTCCATTTTTTAGCTCGAGTTTTACACAAATTTCTTTTAAATCTCTTACTTTTACCTCAGACAATACTCTTAAACTTAACATCACTTAACCCAACTAACTTTCCTCCATTTAGCTTCTTATAACATCTAAATTCTCTAAAGAACACTCCTAACCAAGAATCACACTACTTTTTCCAACATGTTTTTAACCACATCCAATGCTTCTAATCTCTTATTTACATAATTGACAAGTCAAATATACTTGTAAACCTCAATAAAAATCATATTTCAACATAACATTCAAAAACCCATTTTCTCCAATCTTAAATAAATCATCCATCTCTTAGTTTCAATCCTCTTTAACCCTTCCTTAAGCTTCCACACCACTTAAGGTTTCAAGACCTAACCAAAAACTAAAGGAAAAACTAGCTATATGAAGTCTTAGCTTTGGCTATGGATGAGAGCACGGGCAACTGGGAAAATGAGATAAGAAGAGAAAATAACTAAGTTATTTTTCAACTTTCTTTTCTCTCTTAAATACCCTAATTAAAAGGAATTTTAAATCTATTTCCCTCTAAAGAACCAAAATGCCCTTTCATTATTCTATTCTTACTAATTGTTCTTAAACACAATTTCTAAACCATTTATTATACTTTATCACTTATTCAATTTAATCCTCCAAAATTTTAAATCTTTTCAATTTAGTCACTGACCCGATATTCAAGGTATTACAATTCTCCCCTTAAGAAAATTCATCCTCGAATTTTGAAGAAGTACCTGATACGAAGAGGTGTAGAAGCTGCTTTCTCATGTCGTCATCTCTTTCCCAAGTAGCTTCTTCTACTTTATGGTTTTGCCAAAGCACTTTAACTAAAGGAATCTTCTTGTTACGCAGTTCCTTGTTTTCTCTAGCCAAG